CACGTTCCACCGAGCCGCCGCGCAGACAGCCAAAGAAAGAGAAATAGCTCGAAATCTTGAAAAATCTTCGGTCACGCGGCCATTTGCTCGCGCAGCCGGCCTTTCCGCCTCATTTATCTCTCTTGGGCTATCTGCGCGGCGGCTCTATGGAGCGCATAACTCTCCGTGAATAGATATGGCCAATCCATAACTTCTGAAAGATTTTGATTCTCTGTCCCGGGTCTATCCGCTCCTCCGACGACCAAAGAGAATCACGCGGAATATGTACGATCGCACGTGCATCCCGACGATTAACCAATATATATATATATGTGACCGTACGTGAACGAAAACGACCAGCCTAATAGATTCTGAAAGATTTTGGATCTCCGCCCCAGCTCTGCACCGAGCCGCCGCGCAGACAGCCGAAGAGAGAGAAATAGATCGAAATCTCGGGACCCGCATCCAGCCCGGTCTCCCCGCCTCACTTATCTCTCTTGGGCTATCTGCGCGGCGGTCGGGGAGCGCATATAGCCCCACGACCAATCTATAAATTCTGAAAGGTTTTGGTTCTCCGTCCCGGGTCTATGCGCTCCGCCGAGCAGCCGCGCAGACAGCTACAGAGAGATAAATCACGCGGAACACCGCTCCAGAGGCAAGGGCCGCGCGACCAAAAATCTCCGAGATTTTTGGTCGCGCCGCCCGCACCAAAAATCTCGGAGACTTTAGAGCCTCTAGCTTTTCCGAAGGATTCTAAAATCTCCGAGATTTTAGAGCCCCTAGGGAGCCCGCAGGAGGCATTTTAAAGAAGAGCCGGAAAACCTAGGCCGCGCGCGAGCGAAATGACCGCAAGTGGCCGCGCCGTATTATTGATATATTCTATCCTATCTCTATTGATATCTCAGATCGACCGTCTTCCAAGATTTCCGGCAATCGCATCAACCAGGCAGTTTTGAGAGGCATATTCGGCATGACCGCCATGAAATTCCTGACCCATAGCCTGGCTGCGGCTACGCCTCTAAGCAAACGGCCTTACATGCACCTTCCAGGAATGCTTGGGGTTTGCATGCCAGCAAGCAGTCCCAACTCTGAAGGGCCTGTATTCTTCTTCTATAGCCTTAAACCTTTGGAAGACTTCAAAGCTTCGCAACAACCACTGGCATGACCCTACGATCTCTACGCTTGCAATCGATGGCAAGCTTGGTTTTGGGGCCCACCCACCTGTCATGATGACACGTCTCCTTTCTTGAAGCCTGCTTTCGTCTCATCCACGGGTCCCCGCAAAAACAATGCCAGTGATGAGGGGAAGAGTCTCCACCACACCATATATGCCGCAGATCGCCATGCCATCCTTGTAATTTACACCAGAGTAGTCAATCTTCACCCTGACATATTCCTCACCAGTGGCAAGCTCTTCAAAGGGGACCTGTTTCACCTCCATCTGTAGGCTGGCTTCAGTAATCGAAGCGATGCCCCTCCTCGTAGGACTCAGAATTCTCTCTCAATACTATTTACCTTTATAGATAAGGAGGTTGTTCTGATATTCTTGCCATGGCAATATATGGCATGATAAGGGCAAAGCCACGGCGACAGGCGTACGACCTTGCAATCCTCCCAAAATTCCCGCGAACGCAGCTCATTGACCCCTTCAAAGGAGTACCATTCGGCAAACCAATGATTGCGCTGGAGCCCAGGCGAGTGGCATGTGCCATGATAGAAGTTACAACTTCGAGCCAAGGCAGGATCCAAAGTCGCTCGAATCCATTTGACCTCCGAATCAACAACCCGTCGTGCCACACCCTTCTTCGCAACCAACACACACCCACCCCCTCCCAAGAACAGCCGGAGGTAAGCAGTGGCTTCGGCATTAGTAAGCAAGTGACGAGGCTCCTTGCCGGGTTGATGACATAATAATCTAATATGAATAGAATTAGCACGAATCCCATCAAGGCCGGGTCGCTTTCCTCCCCGATTGTGTTGCGAAAGATGCTCAGCAGCAGCAGCCCGCTTCCAACCACATCCCATACCGATCCCCAGCTTTCCAACGAAGCAGTAAGGAGTGTGTCATGTGGCACGCTTGAGGATGCGGTCCTCGAATGCCCTCACCTTGCATGGCAAAAAACGATCCAGGCTCCTACACCGCTGCTCGCATTATCAAACGCGAGATCACAAGCATCCACATGAGTTTATTGAAAAGTCCTAGAGATGACTTCGACCCTGCAAGCAACATGCGCGCGGACAGGTCTGTTTTGCGTTTTCAGCCATCGTGGTCCCGATGTGACCTCTTGGGCTGGGCGCTCGGTGGTTGCAGCCTCGCAGGCCGGAGCGGTGCGAGGCAAGTACCCTATCTAACAGAAGCATGCGCACCTGCAGCTTACCCTTGGACGCATGTCAATGCTTCCTCTTGAGAGTGTTCATGTTGAAGCACATCATGAAGAGTGGTCAACTCCCAAACACGAGAGACCTAGACCTGTAAGGCGATCCCCTCTGGAGCAGCACGATGCCCCAAAGACAAATCTGGCATCCAAGGCATGGACTTCAGGCAATCAGCCGTAGCCTGCCTCACCTCGGTTCGTGTTGCTGGACGGCTTGGCTGGCTGATGGTGATACTGGTTCGTTGAAGTGCTCCACAACTCTTGCACAAGGCCCCTGTCTTTGCCTCTATATGCGCGACATTCGACTCATAGCCTCACTGCGGGTTGCACAACCTGCGGAGCTCTGAGCACAATATTAGGGAACCGCACACAGATAATACTTTCAGTGGCAGAGGCTGCAGTCGGAGGAAGCGCAGGATCATGATCGTTGCAAGACTGGCCAGCTCTCTGCCTGCGAAACATCTGCTCTATGCACCTGGCCCTGCATCTCAAGTGGATACTATAGGGTGGATGATCTCTTCTTTGTCCCAACGCGACTACAATGGAAGTTTGACACATCTCCATGTTGCTTGTCGCTGTGGGCCCAGCCGCAGGACATGCCTTGGCGAAGACCTGCAGGCCACAAAGCTCATGAAAAGCTCTTCATGGGGGCCATGAATTTCAGAATACGGGGCCTTGGCTGGGCTAGGAAGGGGCTCAGGCGTGAGCTGCTGAAAAAATTCTGGATTGCCGATCTCCGGCAACCCGACTGACGAACCATACCAGACACCTTGCACCCTCCAGTTTTCACCCAGCCAAGAGCCCTCAACTCCTTAACCTGAGTTTTTTAACAGCCACGTGCAGCTTCGATGTGAGGCCTTCGATGACCGCGCTCGCTGGACTAGTTCGAAGGCGCCAGCGTCCTGTATCCGCCTGATGCAGACAAGCGCAAGCTTGGGAATACACCTGTGCCGTGACACCTTTTGACATGTGGAGTCAGAAGGCAGTGAGGGCCCACAAGCTTTTTTTCCCCAACCTTACTCCCACTAGGTGCTAGAAGGGTGGAAGCAAAGAAGCTGATCCAACTCCGAACACTACTACAGAGGACGACAAAACGAGCCCCATCTGTACAAATGCAAAATTGTGCATTCGTAGCAACTTCCCTTCTGCCACAATGATGTATCTCAATCACTGCAAGGTGTAGTCCTGCCTCTGCTTCTATAACAGCAACCAAGCATGAGCACAACCAACCATTTGTAACCAACAAGAATGAAGACAATAGAAATTCATGCCTCTTGGCCCTTGCAAGGCAGCCCAGGGTATCTGGTAGACTTTCTTCGCCAGCATTCTTAAAAAGACAATAGCGAGCCCGAATTGTCAACCTATCCCTCATGGTGGTCACCCTGCATAGCACAGAGCACAAAAAGGAACACACACGTTATGTTAGATCCATACAATAAAAAAACAATCATCGGGACAATGCAGGAAAAGCGTGCTGAGATTTCATCTGTCTGACATGATTACCAGAGCAGGAGGGCGCACTGCGCGTCAAGCTCGGCGAATCTTCTCAATGCCTGCCAGCGCTGACGGTTGGCACTTGAGGGATTGTACTGGGGAGTATGCAGGTTGTGTCTGGGCTCCTTCTTACAGAGAAGGGCGCGCAACCTAGTCAGTAATGAATATAGTTATTGCATCATTCGCTTGCGGAGACATCACGCCACGCTGGGGCGTTTTGGGTCGACAAGAACGGCATTCATGCCTGTTGAGTTGTCATCAGGGTCAACACGAAGGAAAGCCGGATTTCTTTTACTGCCAGGGCATGACCACACTTTGAGCAACTATCAGCTTGAGCAATGCCGGGAATCCTTGCCTATGACAGTTTGCCCCTCCCACAGATACTGCTGCTGCCGTTGCTCCTCCTGCTGCTGCAGAGAAAACACAGACCGTACATTGCAGCTTTTGACGATTCCAGATGGAGCACGGGGCGGCCTGCACTCCCCAGAGAGCCACCTGCGCTGGGCTTTAGGCTGACAAGATTTGTAAGTGAGATACGCTTGCCTTGGGGTATTTCACAACTGGGGGTGCCAGTGTTGGGACCATCTTGTCCGGTTTGGAATGGCATCTTTGGTCTTGCAGCAGTGCCAGGCTATGCTATGGCTGGACAGCTGAACTAAGTCCGAAAGCTACGTGAAGACTCCCTCTTCAAGAGCTTTCCTCAGCCTTTTGGCCACGATTTTGCAATGTAGCTGTTCATGTTCCGGATGCTCACTGCCGTCCTTTGTGTGTGAAGACCGCGCGGCATTTTTTGAAATCCTTGCGCTCAGCGGTCGGAGACCTGCTCTAATGCTGGCAGTTCGGAGTTTTTGTCCGAAGCAGGGTCGAATTCACGCTGGCTGAAGGCGAATGAACCTCTGGACTGGTCCACCTTAAACGAAATGCATTCCACGCTTACCATTTGATGCGTCGACTCTGTCGACCCTAAGCCTGAATCGCAAACTTCGTGCGTACCAAACCGACGTTGAGGACGCGTCACGTATCTACAATGAAGCATGTCGAGGTAGTATTTGGCCTTGCAGCCCCCTGTCAGCTCTGCTTCCGAAACCGTGCTTCCTCAAAATCCGGTTTGCAACTGCATCGCATCTGGCACGTGCTCTGCGACCTTTGCTACTACGCTCCGGCATTCTGCGCCAAGCGCTCCTTTAGCTCACCGACCTCCAGCTTCAGCCGGCTCACCTGTGTAAGTAATGCCTCAGAGCCAAGCCCATGATGTTTTGCGACTGTTAATTGGTAGGAATTTGCTAGTCAAGGCTGCCAACAGACCCTGCGCTAAGTTTAATTGCTGAATTAAGTGGTTCCTAATCTGCGTATTCCAGAACGGTCCCGAACAAGATATGACCACAAGCGCGAGCCTGTAGATGCTGCTGCTGCTGCTGCCCAGCTGCGGCCATGTGCTTGCCAGGGTTCGACTCCATGTGTCGTGCCAGGCCATCAGCAGGCACGGTATCTCCACAGAGCCTGCAGCTTTGCAGAGTTGGGCTGGGCGGTGTGTCACGACACGCCCGGGCGCAAAGGAGGTACAAAGGTTGCGTCTTATGCTATATGCTGTCGTGAGAACCAATGCTCGCTCTGCTCCTAGCACCGAACACTTCACCGCAAATGCCAGCACCTTCATGCCAGGACACTCGCAAATCACCGGTGCTTGCTGCTGAGCAATTCGCGGCGCACACTCGCTCAGGTGACTGTCCTGTCTGGGTGCGATCGAAGTTGGGAGGTGGCACGGAGTCCCAAGATACCGCATGCCCGCCACAGCTACAAAGAGGACCTGCAATGTCTCGCAGTCCTTTTCGCGCAAGCTGAAGCACTGGCCACACTTGTTGGGGCAGAACATGGTGAGATTAAGAATGGCCTCAGTTCCACAGCAACACTCATGAATTGGGCAGGTCATGGGGTCCATTCTTATGCGTGAGGCACCACCAAAAGCCCACACGCAAAGCACCTTCATTATTGACCTTGTTAAGCTTGCGCGGGAGGACCACATCCCTAGCAGCATGATGAATGGCAGTGGCACTGCTTCTAGGGCATTGCAGCCTCAAGTCGTTGGTACCACTCTGGGAAACCTATCTCCAGCTCAGCATTGCTCAGTATGGCCAGAAATTCGAGGCAGCATGCCAGAAAGAGCGGAGGGCATGTAGGAACGCTCTGCAGGAGTTGAGTGCGGTATCTGCATTAAGTCCATACATAAACTTCAAAATCGCGGGCGGTGTGTACAGTGACAAAATTTTGGAAGCCTTGTCCAGATGCACTTAGAAGCAGAACTTGTTCAGCTACGCCAATGCGCAGCAACAACTGTTCTTGAAGCTACCTGGCCAGGTAGCACGCCGGTTCGCGTAGGCCGGGGCCACATTGGCGCTACCGTCTTGGCGGCACACAGGGCATTTCTCGTCCTCCGCCTGATGAAGGTCAGTCGGGAGTCTTCCTGCCACTGCTGCTACAGCTGATTCAGGCTAAGTACTGTTGCTCTTTAGAATAGCTATTTCGCTAAATTTGCGGCGCAAACATCCCTGGAAGATCTGGAAGTTTCCTAGACTGAGCGTCCCTTCTTCGCACAGACACTCTGCGAAATCTTAGGCTGCACCGTTCGTCCCCCCTGGCGAGTTCAAAGCGCGATACTTGCCCCGTGCCAAAGCCTATTTGCGGGGCCGATTTTGCAAGCCCTTGTCTTTGCCAAAGCTCTTCGCACTGCCTCCAGCTCCATGGCCCTAGAAACTATCAGTCCAAAAATGACACGAGGTAGTATCAGCACCATCTGCATATGGAGAAGAGAGGCCACAAGAGTTGGCTCATGCCCGCTCATTACGGGTGACAACTCAAAAAACCTAGCAAGCACCAAGGTGCTGAAAAGGCGCCTATTCCTACTGCTGAAGCAAAGCGGGATGGTAACCTACGGTATGGAAAATCGTGCTCGGCTCCAGGAGCAACGGAGCCTGTACACTGAGAAGCTGCGAAGAATTATGCGACACGACGTGCTTGTAAGGCTGTGCTACCCTCTGCCTCCAGAAGGTAAGACTGTGCTAAGCGGTGGCATGCTTATGGCAGAGAGGCTTGGTCTGAGGTTCCAAAGGAGAAGTCAGGATCTTGAGAGGTACGAATCTTCTATTGCCGGTGTTCCTTTTGCTGCCATTGCGACCACCGTTTCTGTCATAATTATCTTATGCCCTTACTACCATGGCTGTTCCATAGGCTTGCTTGAATATTACTCTTTGTTACATGTTGATCCCTGCCTGGCACTTGATCCAACAGGCCTCGCAAAAAAGCTCTCCACACCTGGGCGAGCCGACCATCTTGACATGAACAAAGGTTGCAGGGCGACTGCCAACGGCTTCTTTTTCTTGCTGCAGTTCCTGGGGTCCATCCATGCAGAACTACAAGCAAATTCTGCGAAAGCATAAGCTCAAAATCAAAACCCTCCTAATGAGGAAGCGTGCTCTGCTTGCATGCCTGCAATTCACCCGAACCTCCATGCTCCCAATCCTTACTGAACATGATCTACGCCTGACGTGTGCAAAGCAACAAATCTGAGAAGGTCTCAGGCACGAATGTGACAATGCGTCGCGCGCCACGCACAAACATATCGAGCACTTTGCCTTCTGGGCCTCCTGGCAGGGACTCTACGGGTAGAAGTCCCAAAGCTGGTGGTGCTTTGATTTTGCGAGGGTCTAGCATTTCGTAGCATGACTCTGTCAATTCAGTGAAGGCAAGCTCAAATGGGTGTATCATGTGTATCCACCACCTGGCGAGATGGGCCCCGAGCACCTTGCAACCTTCAGGGTCTCTTTTTGCTGGATGCAAGTTGGACCCTCCATCCAACCAAATCTCCTCTGGATATTCCCAGTCTTCATCGTGACCATACAGCAAATTGTCGCTGTCGTCCGGATTCTTGCCTTACTTGCATGCTCGCATAGCTTTAAAAGTTTTCCGGCTAGCTAGTAGTGCTGACTGAAATTCGGTGGGTGGGAGCACCTGCTGCATCTTGCAAACTGGATGTCAGCAGGTACCTTGGCACTCTTTCCTGCATGCGAAGTTGCCGGGCATATCTGGCCGGATATCATTTTGATATGCCTCAATGACCTCGTGGATTTCCGACACGGATGGGGCGATTTCGGCACTCCTTCAGCATGCTTTCAGGGACCGATGTCTTCTGACAATAAACACATTTGATGCTGGCAGCCAGGATTCCCGAAGTAAGAGGCTGCGGACCAAGGACCCGTTGGGGGTGTCTTGGAGGAGGCGTTGGGATGCCAGAAGTGCCAGCCCGGTTCGAGTCGCGAGCCCAGCTTCCAGTTCTCCTCGAAAAATAAAATGCCATCGCCACCATGCCTTTGAGCTCACAGTCTGCATGCCAGGCTTCTAGAGCTTTTTCACTTCAGGTAGCTCTCATATGAAGAATGCAGCGCAGCATTAGCCGTCACTGTCGCAGTCCGCATGGCAGCTTGGAAAGCAGCCACGCCAAAGCAAACATCTTGAGCTTGCAACCCATACCCAATGACATGCAAACCTGGAGCCTTTCTGGCATTGGGCTGGAATGCAAGGTGATGCTGACAGAGTTAGAAACTCAAGGCAAGCCAGCAAGAAAAACACGTACCCAACAACTGCATCCAAGAACGGTAGGAGACGCGCAGAAACAGCATGTGATATTATGGTAGACTAGCTTGCCCATGAGATCCCGTGTAGGCACGCAGTGTTCTTAAATGTCGGGGGAGGCTTGCTTGCCTACAAAAAAGGCAAATTCAAATGAGGGCGGAGGTGCAAGCGGTATCGCGGACGGTCGTTGAAGATATCTGTCTGCACGTAGTCTCCGTTCATATACTCACCAATGCCGCAAGCTCCGGAAACCCGGAAGGATGTGACGGACACCAGGTCATAGCTGTCGTCATGCCCCACACGGTAATTGTTTTCATCACCTGCAAATTTGTCAACACATCTATGACGCTGCTACCCACTCTGGGCTCCAAATAGCAAATCTTTTGAACCCAAAACCTTGAATTTACAGCCCCAGGACCCAACGCCTGTGTCCCATAGTACGCCGACCCAGCCAGGAGTTGCGCTCAATCGCTCGATCGTCAACCCAAAATGGCCTGCAAGCAATTTCCATGGCAAGTATCATGCCGTGGTGACATGTTCAAGTGATCCACATACGTGTAAGTCTAGATTCAAGAGCAAAGCAAACCAAGTTCCTTGTTTGACCAAGATGCAGGTTGTGTCCTGTTGTGTTGGCAGGTATTGTTGCCTCTTCAGCTGCCCCAATGGTCTGAAACTTAACTTCCACTGCGAATGATCTTCAATGTTCTCTCGGCTGGGTTACTGACACTCTGACGAATCACGCCCCCAAGCATGAAACACCCCGCTGCCCACTCAACATCAAAGACTCCTTTCTGGGATTCTACAGTACTACATCGAACATTCAACATGGTGGTGGCTTGTCCAAGATAAGGGGTAAGAGATGAATCACAAAGCAAGAGTGAGCTTTGGAGCAGAACCTGCGCCACCATCTTGGGAATTCCAGCACCAGTCCGGCCCACGCCGCACGCGCACTGAGAGGCGCGCACATCTGAGGACAGTATCTTGTTGGCTCGCATCCTGCCAGGAAAGCAGGTCAGGAAAGATAGCAATCTCGTGAGACAGTGTCAACTCTGCTTGCACGTCATGTGCTAAGAATGCGCTGTGATCCCAATGCTGCTTTACAGGCACGCAGCACGTGGCCTCAATTGAGATGCTGGACACGACTGGTGGAGGATTGGCATCGTCAAAGAAGTAGCCCTCCGTGGTCCAATAGCCTGCTGTAGCTCCCCCATGCCCCCCCCCTATGTGGAGTAAAATGAGGGTCAACAGCTGCAGATTAACCCAGCAGACTTTCAGAGTCGATGCCTACTGGTCGGGGCAGCCTCAGACAAGGTGAAGGTCTGTCTGACCAGAATGAATCCCAATCAACGTCTCAAGCCAATCAATTTGGATTAGCTGCAGGGTGGTGCTTCAATGCAGCTTGCTTACTATCTCCGCTTGCAAAGCTGGGAGCATTGCAGTTTTTGATAGACCTGGTGAAAGCATCCAAGAGTCCGGGTACCTGACCTGCATCTGTCAAACTGAGAATTGTGATCGTTACCAACGTGCCGCCCCATGGGCCCTCTAGTCATACACTGAACTAACTTTTCGGATTCCCCAACGAACACCCTCCTTGGGCCTCTACTTGGAGGTTAAATGGGCACTGTAGTACCTTCCTCAGTTAAATGGGTACTGTAGTACCTTCTTAATGTTAATATTAATCAAACACACCCTTTGATCATTAATCTTATATGCTTCCGGAGAAGAAAAAGGACCGTCTATGCTGGGGTACGTATTTGACATTAGGGGTAGTGGCTTTTTGATACTGGTATGAAGAGCATAACAGCTTATAACTGGATTCTCGTCAACCCTTCACTGACATCAATGAGTTTTTGTAAAATCTGATACCCTCAAACCAAGTGCCCACGAAGGCACCGTCAGGTGGACACTCGGAAGAAGTGTCCGGATGTTGGTAGTACCAGCCAGAGACATCCTGAAAAACAAGCATCCACAGCGCCGGGCACTTTGCGGGCTTCCAAACCTGCTGGTTTTGTTCAGGACAAGCACCCAGTGGAGTTTCGCTCATTTCTCCTGGTTCCTGGAGATGTCTTGTTGCCTAGCTGCTACATCCTGCCATACAACTAACAGCATCAAAGCGTCATCTCTGTAGTTGATCTTCCAATGCTCGTTGAAGTACATGATCGCTCTTCCGCCTTCCTGCGCTGACGGGGCAAAAGCAAGAAACTGTCTAGCTCTGAAAGGGAATCCTCACGGGGATCGAGAGTTGCCGTGTTAGGTCACTTTGCCGACTTACTTCAGTTGCAGACGCCATTTTGATGTTTGCTCAGCTGACCCGCGACTCAAAGGTCTGAAAGGAAGGAAGGAAGCAAGGAGTTTGATCCGTCGTTGCTGAATCTCATGCGCGAAGATTTGTGCAAGCAAGTCTTTCGTGGCAGCCTTCAGCTTAGCCTTGCGTGCTGCGGCCCAGCATGGCAATGATGCTCAAGTCTGACATCCTCGCTGTACTACGAGTATAGGGCAAGGGAAGAGGCAGTGCTGTAAAGAAGTGCATTTGCGAAGAAGCACGCGCAGCCTATTTTGTGAGCCCTGTCTGACACAGTGACACTGTACAGTCGAGCCGCAAGTAAGAAAACACAAAGAAATGAAAATCTAAAGCCCCGCAAGCTTTAGAATTTGTGGTCTGGATCTGAGAAATTTCACTAGAAAAAGATGCGGCCTAAGGCGCGCAGGGCCTCTCAAAACCTAAACATCGCATACCGAAGGAGGCGCCGGAAGAATTGAATCCGGGTTCAGACTTAGACGCTGATTTAGCGAGCTGGCGCCTCCGAAAAGACGATATTGGTGTCCATGCGCTGCAACCACATGCCTTTAGGGCGTCGCATTTCTTCGAATCGCAGCTCAGAGATCCCCAGCTTCAGAAAGACCTCTGCCAAATAATTGGGATGGAGCTCCCAACAACCGCGCAATGCCAACGCCGCCCAGCGCAGAACAAACCAATGACAATGAGACATGTCAGTGAGGTTCTGATTGTGATTTCGTATTCTGCTTTCTCGGACAGGAAACGTCCCAGACCCTGAAGTGAAAAGCCCGATTTCTCATCACAAGCCGTGGCCATATTCGAAGTTCTGCGTATGCAGACACCAGATCGATAAGACAAAGAGAGTCTTGGACAAACACGACACCTTCTTCCCTCTGCGAGCCTGCTGATACTTCGGTCGTCCATTCAAGGAGTCGATGCGAGTATAGAAGCCATTGACTGTGCAGCCAACGCCACCAGCTCCGGACACCCAAAGGTCTTCAGGGACCTGATCGCAAAGAAAGGCATGCACAGCCTTTCGTGCTCTCAGAAGCTGCGTGCATTCGAAACATAACAGACGAAGCACGCTCGGAATAGGAGCGTAGCTGACTGTAGACTGCATTGGAAGGGGTGCATGTGAGAAATGTATATCTGCCCCGCACACGTTTGAACGTTGCATGCCCTACATGCTGAAGCAAGCGTTCACTTCTGAAACACTTGGGCGCAAGGAATTCAAGCGTGAAACTGCATGTACCCTTTCACCAAAGCCGCACATGACTCTTTGACATCTATGAGTTGATCAACGAGAACCCTCCAAGCTCACCTCACAGACTGTTTGAAACCCCTTTGCCGGCAGCTTGGCAGATGATCCCAAGTTCCCAAGAGCCTGCTGCAGCAACTCCATTGTCAAACTCGGTGCAGGCTCTGCATTGCCCAAGACGTAGCCTCCAAAAATATGATCATAAAATAGTACAGGCCATTTTGTCGGCACAAGATGACAGTCAAATTCAAGGGGGCACCCGTATGAAGTAGCGCTAGCATCATCTCAAGGGTTAGCGAGAGTAGAGACACGAGTGACCTGCCATCTCTACTTAGTCAGTCCGCTTGGATCAGAGATTATTTCCTGAGGCTTCCTTTGCACCCTCGTACATAACAGCCTCTTATGTGCAAGCGCCTCCATAAACTAGTCAATAAAAACCTTGACGCACAGATCAAGGCTCTTGAAGCCTTCCGTTGTCCATTCGCCAAGCGGAGGCGTCTCTGACTGGTCATCTGGGTGGGCATAATACCAACCAGATTCCTGGGCACCAGACTGAGGGAAACACCAAAGTGGTCACCAAATCCAGTCTTCGAGCTCAGCGCATAAGTAATCCTACCCGAACTGAGGCCAATCATCTCAAGAAAAATCAGGTCACGGCCGCATAAGCTCCCCTTCACCGGGAGACCTCACTGCACGCCAGGGCGCGTCGTCGCGATAATTGATTTTCCAATTGTCATTGAAGTACAAGATCGCTCGCCCGTTCTGGTCAGCGAACAGGGAAGACACAAACGCAGGAAGTTGCAGCTCTTTGCAAGGTTTTTCAAGACGCTAAAGCTTCAATAGGATCAGGAAAGTCCAAATAGAGGCGTTGAGCAAAGTGAAGTTATGAATCATTGCCCATAATACTATGCTTTCAAACAAGTCTTTATCTGAGCCGGCTCTGCCTGCCCTTCCTGATGACCTTTGACGGCTTCGGCGTCCACCTCTAACATCTGCATTCCCTTGCCATTGAAGACACTCCTGCCTGAAGCTGATACTTTGGCTTCCCGTTCAAAGCGCCGACACATGCATATACTCCTGATGAACAGGGTATGGGATGGGAGCCAACTTCTTGCCGTCTACCTAACGCCTGCAGCTACTCAAAGCTAGGGACCCCTAAGCACATCCACAGCAAATGCTAGACCAGCCAGCAGCACAAGATGTTTGTCTGGGGACTCTCGCTGGATCTTCTTCCACATGGCATGCGAGCATCTTTGCGGATCTGCGGCAACGTGCAACTGGAGGTTCTTGCCCACTCCCTTCTATCAAGTCAGTCCGAACACACCTTCACCAATTGATCTCACCGTCTCCGCGGGTTCCCCTCAACCCTCCCGGCATATTCAAAAGCATCTGGAGGGGTCCGTTCACGGAGGTGCCAACACCGCCAGCGCCTTAAAGCAGGAAGGCCGATTGATTCATCTAGCTGGCTGGGAAACTTTTGTTTCAGGTTGTGACAGTCTCTCCAACAAGGCATGCGTGCACTTACAACATAGGACTGGAAGGGTTGGACGACTTTCATGTCCATTTTGGAACGACTGCTATTCTGGAACACAAGCAGCCAATACACGTTGAGTATATTGGCCCTTCAGGGATTGTGCTTCGAGGTTTGGTTGCAAGAGAGCGCTTATGGCTTCGGGGTTCCAGCATTGAGCACTTTGACAAGGGAATCTCAAGTGGGAGCCTTTTTAATGATCTAGTTGCTGCTTGAGCAGTTCATGAAAACTCTTGTATAATCCAATGTCAGTGGTTCGGGCGGTCCTATGGTGCATGGAGGAAACAATACACCAAACATGGTAGAGCACCCCATTTGCCCGCAATTTCTCAGTATAATGTATATGAAGTGGTGCAGGATTTCCGCCATCCACACTGAACCTTGTTTTTCAAACGTTGAATTTGTTCTATGTCAACCGAAAGGCATCGCGAAACGAACGTTTCACTTCGACTCAGCTGTCTACAGGTCTCTACGACTAAAGGGATGATGTGGCTCGAGGGGTATTGCATTAGGGGTGGGGTCCTCTTACTTTGGGGTATTGTTTGCGGATCACATCGATTCACTGCTGTCCTCCTATTCAAGTTGTGGCGATTGCTCAGAGCATCAAACGACATCAGACCATTAGATCTGACAATGGCTGTCGCATGCTGTCGCTCACAGTGCTTCTGCTAACAAACTTTCGGATCTGACACGTGGTCAGGTCTAACATAGTCCCCAAGTTCCGCCGGGGCACCAGAGACAACGAAGGCGGCGGTGGGCATAGCTCTGGGTTTAGGCTGGCTCCCGACAAGCCCGCTCCTTGCTGCTTTGGTCTTGAGTCCTGCTTTTCGAGTCTGGGCAATCTACAACACATTAGCAGTTGCACCTTGAGTTTTATGTCACCTTGAATCATGAATAGGTCAAAGACCTCCGGATCTTCTCTGCATTTTAGCTCCTCTGTAAGAAGTCGTGGAAACTGGGCCCAGTCATAACCCCATGCCCGCTTTGGAGCCACAGAGCTGAAGCTGCGAGGCCAGATGCGCCGTTCTTGTTGAGTGCTTCCGTCGCTGCGCACCCGCTGGCTTCTGAGAACTCAGAAATGCAATGAAAAAACACGATGCGAACAACTGGCGGCGGCAACTGCCAGTACCATCAAGCTTCACCTCCCTGACTGTGAAGCTTGCCCCATGCACATTGGCATGACTTCAAACAAGCCCTGCCATAGAAAGGGGAAGGTGCAGGCAAGCTTTTTCCTGCACACCGCATGTGCTGGAATGTCCTAGTTCAGATGTGTGGGGGGCATCCTGGACAGCGCTCCACTGGAATGCTTGCTTCCTTCGAGGCTGTCAGCTTGATACTGCAGCAACACTTTCAACGCGAAGGTCTACAAACGTTGAACCTCTGCTTGCCCACGCCAAGCCAGCCAAGGTAGCAATGGCACCAATTATTCGTCCAGGAGGATGGCCCAATTGTCAGTCCGTCTTCTTCACATCTGCGGTCGCGTTGGGGTCCTCATCCTTTCCTCTAGCTAATCAGAATGTTCAAGCTCTAGCTTATGTTCTTAGCCTTCCCCAATCTGGAGCCCAACCCCACGCTGCACACCGCCACATTTGAGCTCTAAATGTAGCAGCCTAATGAGGGGATGGAAGTTGTTCAAACGTGTCCCTCCCTGAAAGCAAATTCTTGGAAGGCGAGCGGCCAAGCAGGACTTTGGCCATCGTTGGCATGAGGATCACCAAGAAGAGCACGGGAGCGATACCTCGTCTCAGGCTTGCTGAAGGCCCTGACAAGGTCATTCAGGAAACCTTCTGAAGACTTGAAACCCATTTTACCCATAAAGATCTAAAGACGTAGTTCTCCCCAAGCTTTCCAGGTGCTTCCAGAGATGCCCCCCAGCAGGACCACGGGGTCGACACTTTCAGCATCCCGGAGCCCCAAATAAATGTCACCGAGCCTCAGCTCAACACGAATCATACGCCCAACAATGATAATGCTGATGAAAATTCTGGCAAAATTGAAGTGTTTGTACTGTAGCCAGATTATGCGCAAGCTTGGGGTAGTCTTGCTTCCAGCAGCACTAAGCAGCACACATCTGCACTACAGCATGAGAAAGCTCAGCCAGGTGGCTGCGACCCTAGATATGCCTGTGCCGGCACTCCAAAGCAGGAACCCAGCAAGCAGCCTTGGATTTGAGACAGTTCCAAAAATGTCTGAAAGGCTGGGACGGTGCAAATACGATGTCCGTGAATTCACCAAGCGAATTAACACGGGCGTGCCACTCTGGCGCTTAACTACGTTGAAGTCAGTAGGATTCACTAGGCCTTGGCTGCCAGGCAGACTGTCAAATCACACAGGCGGTTATCGGAAGTCTAATTCATGCTTTACCTGTGAAAGTATGTGGCATTGCAAGACTGGAGGCAGCCCTCAGAGATCCTGCACCTCGCACGAAAACTTGTCCTGAAGCATGCAGGACCCTGAAGCATGCCGAACACCCTCATAAGGCTGTGGGCCTGTGGGCCTACGAGAAGCAGATCGTCTCCAAGGCAACGTACAGACAAGCAGCAGACCAAGTAGTGAGGAAACCTGACCGAGCTTGATAGAAACCCCTCCACAATCGTTTAGGCCGAGGTGTGTGCTCCTGGCTTCGGATGCAGAGCTCATGCCTCGCTTCTACTAGACAAGTCCACGTATTCCTGGCATCAAAGGCTATACATTACATGACAAATATTGATGAATGTTTTGTCAGCATTCCGGAGACGTGAATACGAATCTAATCTAATCACGCGCAAGCCCGCCTGATGTTCAGCAAAGCGAGCCCATAGTTTTTCCTCATCCATCAACACGGCCAATTCTAGTTCCCAAATGGCGCAGTGCATCAGGCTGCAAGCAAAAGGATGATGATAGCAGTCTGGCTAGATCTATCATGGTTTTTGTGGGTGCGGCTAGCTCTCATGAATTTGCAAGTGTTCTCCTGTTTCTGTATGTGCTGAATCGCAAAAGTGCAAGTTTGTTGTGGTGACTCTCGAAGATCTAGGTTGGCAGAGATCATGAGTTGACAGGAGTCTGAGGACGACGACGACGACGACGAC